GTTGATATTGTTGTTGTTCCTTTTGCTTGGTGTCCGTGGGTTATGATTTCTACTACTACTACTGGTTCTGATGTGGTTCGTGTGCCTGTGCCAGGAACGGTCATCTGACTGGATGTCGTATCTCCCTCACTACCACCATCATTTACTACCACCACCACCAAGAACTAAGACATTGCCAGCAGTGAGACCTTCCCGCCAAGTATGATGTTCCGTTTGTTACCCCGATCGGAAGTTCTTTAACCATCCAATATTATCCATCATTAGTCACTAAAAGAGAACCAGTGGAGCACCAAGAACTCGTACAGTAAGAAGTCTACGAGAGAAAAAGAAAAAAAAAAAGAAGAAAGCGAGAAAGAAAAAGGAATAAGTGGTGTAACTGCGGCAACATGATTCTCGGGCCAAAAAGAAGAGGTTAAGCCATTAGCGGAATCTGCATGTCGCTGCAACTGGAAAGCCACCAAGCGGGGTTTGTGTTGCCCGGTAGGAAATCCATTCGTTCTTGGTGACCTTGGTTTTTAAGCGTTCTCTCTTCGTGCTTACTGCAGTCGCCCTGTGAAGAGGGGCGGCGGCCTACCGATTGTCTGCCGACTCTGAACCCACACCGAGTTTGTCTGGTGGCTGGATGGAAAATGGAAAAAAAGAAAAGGAAAATAAAACTCGAAATCTATTGTTGATAAGACGAAGCCAGATACAGATACTACTAACTACAATCCTTGCACTTGCCTGGCTCTTATCTCCAATTCTTGACAACATCCAAGGTGATCAGCAAGTGGAGCTCTAATGATCAGGGCTGGCTGAGATCAAGGATCCTTCCAATCTCCATCCAACATGCTGATTGATTTGCCCAATGCTCGTCGGACCTTGAACTTATGCTCAGAGCAATGAATGAGACGTGAGATGCCGCGCACGGGATTATCTCAGACAAATATTCCTATCTCGACCCACTGCGGGGTCCACGGGTTTCGGGAATAGAAGGATTGAGGAACCGGAACCCTCTTCATGAACTGATCAGGTCTGGCGATGATAAGTCGATATCGTACCATTGCGTGATCTGATGTTGTCCGTGAGTTGGATTTGCAACTTCATTTGCTATGCGAAGCTATTATTCACTCACTGTGTCGCAATTATTCCTGCACTTTCTGCTTCTTCAATGACTGCTCCTCGTCTGGAAATGAGAAAGGCTTTGCTTCAGCTACAAGTGGGGATGCTACTCAGTGGAGACCCTCATATTTTTGGTACTTAATAATAGGTCCTTGTCGCTGATTTTCGCTTCAGCTTTTCCGGTATTGGTGGGATAGCGTGAGACACGCACGTTCGCTCACCGGTGTGGACATTCTGTACATTGGATTAGTCCATTGTGCGGACAATAGTAACGAAAATAGCAAACTGAATGCAGGATGTTTATCTCTTTCTTCCTCGTACGATTGGGGCTCATACTGCATTGCTCCGGGATCAGTATGGTAGGCCAGAGGCTTGTCTGATCTTGACAACCTTGCAGTATCTACGTATCATGTAGTACTCTGGAGGCTGACCTGGATGTATGGTTGGTAAGCATATATGACCTATGATGTGATTAGAATAGATGTATACCCCAATACGTTTTCCATAACCTTACTTCAAAAATGGATGAAATTGCGGACTGTGACTTATACACATAAACAGGCTCGTACAACCCGTTTCGAATAGTTCAGTAGCTGCTCACATCTTTACTAACAATCCACTGGATATATAATCTGGCATCCTATCTGCAGAATGACACAAGTTGTATTAATGATAGAGGCACAAATTCCCTCAAATCCTGATAATGAGAATTTAGGACCATGTACACCAATACAATATTGAACTTGTCCCATGATATGTAGTGTGGAAGGTTTCTACTATCGTAATATCGCTTAGCTCAGAGAATAAATGCTCACGCTGCAATATTAATACTAGGTGTCACTAGCCAACTTGACATTTGATACTAGTAGTATATTCTAGGTATACATGACATATTACTATCCATCCACCGCATTTGCCCACCTTCCAGGCTCTCAGATGACTTTCGAGAGTATCAATCATCATCACCATCAGCAGCAGCAGCAGCAGCAGCAGCAGCAACATGTTTGCCTACTACTCAAACTGCCCATTTGCATCGATGTTTATAAGGTCATTGTCTGTCTTGTCCTTCACTGCGTCGACCCTCGCCTTCACTACGTCGATAACACAAGATGCCCTTCTTTGTTTCCCACCAGCTTTGGGATTCCTACTCCATACAGAGATGGGAACTTCTTCTAGATGCATTTTCATTTTACTTCATCTCGTCCATCCTATCTTGGCTTCCCCCGGGATACTTCTCATCAACCACATCCCCTCGTGTGCTTCAACCCAGTGGTAGCAACACCAAGTCAACATGACCCAATTGGTTGTTCACTGGTTCGCGTGCAATCACTTCTACCCTGAATGGAGGAACACCCCCATACCTCCTTGGGCATCCCCTGGAACTATCCTACGCCCTACAGCTGCATTACACGGATACGACTGCACCGTTTGTCTTGATCCGCCAAGCAAGATCCAAGAGGCACGAAAGTCCGTTCTGATGACCGCTGCTGCCCTCTCAAAGATTATCGACATCCCCGTTAACGATGGCGGATTCATGCAAGGGGTCATTCGATTCTATGCCCGAGGTGACCATCTAAGATGGCTACAGCCGCCTACCCCTGATGCGCAACTTTTGGCACCCGACCCATATTTGCATGCATTGATGATGGAATCGTGGAGGAACACATTGGGCGAATTGTACTTCTGGACCAGACCTGGTTATCTCTTCGATGTTGCTCTGGCTGAGGTGAAGCGCTCAGAGCCAGACAATTACGAGCTCCTTAATTGGTCTGGGACGAACTATATGCCAATTTGTCCGTACTATTACGTGTCGATGTCACCAATGGCGCAGCCCGTTGTCAAGCCAGTGCAGAGCTCTTATGATTCGGCACAGAGATGCTCCCTGGGATCACAGACTTCGTCCAATCTAGTACAGACACCTATGAGAAAACCAGAGTCTAGTAATGGTTCGACACAGTCTTCTTTCGATACAGCCCGGTCTACTTCTTCGAACCAGAGTCTCTCTTCCCGCGTGAGCCAGAGTCCCTGCCATGAGGACATCATACAGCAGGTAGGTACCCAGAACAATACCACTACGGCTATGCAGAACGTCCAGACCTCCCAGGTGTCTCTGCCCTTTGTGAGGATGGACCCCTCCGTGGCCCTAGATGACCCGTTCGTTGTCGAGCCTATATCGGTATCCCTAAACTCATATACTCAGATGTTTCCATCACTAACTGTGTGGCAGGGGGAGGGTAGCTGGTCAAGGCAAGACGACCATTTTGCCGACCTGAAGCGCCAACTCAGACTACCTGGGCCAATGGTGAGGAATGTATCACCAGACCTTGGTTCCCCGACACCTTCAACTCCTGAAAGGATATCTGCGAGAGAAATCAATCGAAGGAGGGATTCGGAGAAGTCCTACAAACCCACTTCGCTCGGCAATGGTACTTCTGCATCTTGCGATGATGATGAAACTTGGTCTATGGAAGATGCCTCAGTATCGTCTTTCAAGGACGCAGTTAACGCTCGTTCCGAGTCTGCATCTTCCTCCGCTGGCAGCCCCGTGGTGGCTTCGAAGACCGATAACAATCTAAGATCACCTGTGCGCAACACTAGTGATATTCCACCTACCACTTGCACAACCGTCGATCCCTCCTTGCTCGTGATTGAGAATGGCCTCAAGATGTATCCCTCTATTGAACACTCATATGATGTTGCTGCAATCAGACCTCGATCACTCTCGCCAGCAGAAAATCCCGAACATGAGCTCCATGTTGGCTCCCCCAGTGGCAAGGATGCGGAAGATGCAAACTCGCGAGCTTTTAAAATTAGAACGGAGAACGGCTCTAATACGGATCTATTTACGGCTACTTTGGATCAGTATACTGTAGAGCAGCTGGCCGCGCGGCAACTTACAAAGACTCCAGAATTAGAAAGCAACCCGAACGAATATGGCTTTGGGTTTGGTTTTGAGCACAATTTATTTGATGGATTCAACTTTCTGCTGCCCGAAGAACAAACTGAAATACCTTTGGAATCGAATATGATGATCTGATAGGAATGCTGGTTTGTGCAGCAAATGAGAGGAATGCGGCCTTGTCCTTCGACTCACGATTCCATGATATCTATGCTTCCCTTTGGGTTCATTTGCATTCACTTTAAGTCTTTTTTCGTGCTTCATTGAACTTTCTTTTCATTTCTTCATTCGCATATGTACACATAGTTCTTTTTCGTCCATACTTTTTCCTTGCTGATTATCTGATGTGGTTATTTCGAATATTGGATCGTTGCTTCCTGGGGGATACGGTGTGAATGGCAAGAAGGGGGTCGTTAGTTTCGGTCTTATTGACCTATTCGTTTTATCGCATTTACGGCGTTTTCTGATTCCTAGCAAAACCATTGCACTTTAAGAGCTTGTCCTATAACATCTAATACTAGTCATGTGATCTATAACTACCCCAGAACCACGTGCCGACGGCAAGCTGAATCGGCTTATGCGGGCACTGCATAACTACAGGGAGTAAGCAGCATAAAAATGGGGCCGAGGAAGAGAGATTGTAGTCTACCCCGGGCAGTTCCGTACCATACCGTAAGGGAAACGATTGGTTGCTCCTGGCAGAAAAAGCAACCCGCGGTACCAATAAACAGCGGGAAACTATTATCATATCACCAGCCACATGTTTCTCGGTTCGTCCGAGGCCAGCCCAGCCCGCGCGGCAAAGTAGCAGCTACTACTACTACTTAGTTACTAGGACTTTAGCTCCTCCTTTCTTATCCCCATCATTACTACCACACACCCCCCCAGCCCCCTCCGCTCTCCCCTCCCTTAGACAGAGACTTGCGATGTGACTTGCAGCTCACCGCGACCCATCCCAGTCTATGCGCCACTATTAAGCCCCAAGTTCAGTGTGATCGCGATGTCCTTTCCTTACTCCCAGGATGCTCGCCGCCGGCGGGTCGGAGCCGGCGCCGGCTTCAGCTCCACTGGTAATCGGACCGTCCTGGGATACTGGGTGCCTCTTGCTGTTACCGTGGGCATCGCAACTGTTAGCATTGCAGCCTGGATCTGGAGCGAACGCAGCGAGGACGATGACGATAATAATAACAATAACGACCGCGATACTACTATCCCCCCTCCTCCGCACGATGACCGCTTCCCCGCCCCCGAGGGTTACCCTCATGGCGAATATGCGGACGATTACGCCCGTTCAACCGCTACGGATATACCAGGGGATGATGCTAGCATGATGGCGCGCATGCAGGGTGCGCTGCGCCGCACTCCTAGTCCCCAGCAGATCTTTGATGGCGCTAGCAAGAAGGTTGCTGCGGGAGTCGCTGCCGCGGGAGCTTTCGTGGGTGGTGCGCTGACCTCGATCCGTGAGGAAGATAGGGGTGACTTTGAGGATCATTCTCGCTGGTCGGAGGAGGTCGCTTCGAGAGCTCAGCGCGCGGAACAGCCTGCGCCGACTATGACGGGGGCGTTGCCGGTTCGTGATGTTGGTGTTGGCGGCCCAGCGTCTGCTACGAAAAAGAGGACTGTTGCGATTGTGGTCTCGTCGGAGTCTGCGCAGGTGGATCCGGAGGATATCGTCTCTCAGCATGTGGTAAGTCTTAATGGTTTGGTGTAGGTGCCAGAGCGGGTTATGCTAATGGGCTTTTGCTTTCTGCGCAGTCTATCCTTTCTCATCTCCCCGAACACGTCAACCTAGATACGGCTAGGGTCTTCATCATGATCTATGCCCCCGGTCTCAAGCACGCCCCGAAGCAGGGAAGCTCCTCTCAGCCGGACTTGTCTGTTGCCTCTTCCTATTCCAACATCGCCCCCGAAGAAGCTGTTGCGTCTGGTGAGCTTCCCGAGGGAGAATCGCCCTCGGAATCTCGCCAGGTCGATGAAGAAGAGGGCTCTACACCACTGTTCAAGACAATGTACACTCAGGCGCAGGCACTTGTGGAGAAGGAGAACACCATCATGCCCTTCAGCACCGCGACAGGGTTTGTGCATCTTCTTCGCCACCTTTCTCCTGAGGTAGTGTATGTTCAGGAGTCCCTTACCGGGGAAGCAGGAGAGCATGTAAAGCTCTTCTCTGGCTGGGTTCGGGATACGGTCATCGTCGTCGGAGGCGAAATCGGTCACGGTGGTCTTGTTGACAGCGACGATGAGTCTGCTCTTGCAGACAAGGGCGAGAAATGGTGGCAGAAGGAGGGTGTCACTGGCATTGGCAAGCGGATCAACGTGGTGGATGTCCACCGCATTGGTGATGATTGGAGGCGGAGAGTGTCTGGTCACGACTAGACTAAAGTCGAGTATTGGAAATGTTGGTGTTCCAGTGTTGGCTGAACGTCTCGGTTGCCTTGCGTATAGGTGTGCCTTATGTTATTTTGATGAACCTTCTCTTTTCTTGTTATTGATTCCCCTGTCTTGATGAGATGAAGAGGATTTGCTCTTCATGTTGTTTACCCCTGTGTGAATATTGATTGCATGATGACCGCGAAGCATGGTCTACTTAGCTTCTACGGAAGCGATATGTTGAATGAAATGAGCCTTTGCACATAGCAGTGAGTTTACGCGTTAGCATTCTTAGGAGTATAAACTCTGTATAAAGTTTCGTCATATGTGGTCAACACTTAAATGGCACATGATGTATGTATGATATGGATTGTTGGCTCCTAACTGGCCACTTCATTTCTCATCGTTTAATTCCTAGTTTAGTACAACTGCATGATCTCAGGGCTCAGCTCCTGCTGGTCCCACAATGGAAATGGTACGTGAATTAGGCAAAGCCCTTCGAGCATATATATATACCCACCACCTCATTCCCCAAACCACAACCCGTCTCTCTTATTACTAAGGAGCACTAGTGTTCTTCATTTCTCATATACCTCTCACCTATCTCTTACATGACTCCATGGCAATACTGACTAAATCCCCTCAAAACAGACCTCAACCGTAATAAGCGACACCTACACCATCCTAGCCGGGCTACCAGCATCTTACCAACAGTGCCCATTACTAACCTGGAAACAATTACGAGATGCCGTGCAAGCCATATACACCCAGCTAGAGCAGCACCACTGGTCAGGAAACCAATGGATAGCTCTCACCGACATGTCACAAGCTGCCATCGAAAAGCTAAACGAAGACCATGACCTACTAGCAGGTATCTCAGTCCGAGTTACATGGATCGGAACCACAGGGCTCCTAAAAGTAGCCGCCGGTGCTCCCCACCACTTCACTACAACAGAAATATTCCGTTACATTGACTCTCAGTGTTTTGAAATGGGAGTGCCACGCACACAGCTCACTTGGGGAATGGCATAGGTGTTAAGGATAGGGCCACTTTGGTGTATAGATACTCAATTACAATGAGGTCTGCCTTACCTGCCTGCTAAGAGCTGCCACTAAAGGCACTTTCAAAGCCCAAAGCACCCCTTAGTCCCTAACTGCCTCTTTAACGTACTCTCCTCAGAGACCCTAAAGGCCACCACCACCACGGTCAGATTCTGAGAAATTAGAAGTCATTCAAGTGACGGCTAACACCTAATTTGTTACTGTCGATACATAAACTGAAGACCAACTACTATGGTGTTGTTCAATATCCAGGCAGTCTGGTTGAAACTAAGTACAAAAAGGCCAGTATTTATGTAGGGTTTATAGTCATCATGGAAAGAACACAAATCTTCTTCAGTAGATGAATAGAAGATATAATATCTGGAATACTCCATATCGCAGGCGCGCGGCACTAAACCCAAAGCGGTAGTCAGGTGACCCCGACCTCCTTCACGTCGCCCGCGGCTTGGCATCATACAAACTCCCTTTGCAGAGCCACAACCGACCGTCGACCGACTCTTCCCACTCGCTCCGAGCCTCCCCTGCCTTCCTTGCAGGTGTCTGTTCGATGGACTTTCATACCCTTTGTCTGTAGCGACCCGCGCTTTGTGCAAGTGTTCGCATTGAATCGGGCCAGTTCGTTGTCGTGCCGCCCCCGATCTCCGCTCCCCACATGTCTCGCGCTCCGGCTGTATCATCAACCACGACTCACGGCCCTGTCCTCATCCTTCCTGGATCCGGTTCCCCCAAGGTCGCATTTATCAGCTTGCGACCATAATCGCGCCGCGGTTCATCTCCGAGACTATGGCGACCGCAATTTCGAAGCCGACCTCGCATACCCCTAAGATGAAGCGACCGCCCCCGCCTTTCGTCCAGACCGGAGTGAACGGAGTCAAGTCTCAACAATCCTCCTCTTCTTCTCCTCCCTCCTCCGCGAAACGTCTGCCCGGTTCGAACCAACCGGCTTCAGCAAGCTCCGCCGGCGGCCCGACGTCAAATAACGTCAATGGCGCGGCTAATGCGGCTGCCGGCTCGAACAAGGCTACTCAGAATCGACCTAAGAAGGAAGCGCAAAAGCCCGGTGACCAGGCTGCGCGGTTACAAAAACCATTGTTAAGGTCCTTATCCATTGACAATGATCGTCGCGCAGGGAACAGGTGTCCCGAGCCATACGGTAAGCTCTCAACCCGATCCACATGCGGAGCCCCTGCGTACTGACCATCGGGTGCGTCATAGTCAAAACGTCGTCTTACATCCTCAAGAAGTTCTCCAAATGCCCGCCCTCGCTTATCCTCCACCTTCACCCAACACATTTCCGCTTCGAGCAACAAGATGGAAGCTTCCCTTACAATTCCGAGATGAAGGTCATCATCGAACACATTCGTGCCGGAACCGTTCCCCATGATATGATGGAGGAGCTGTTGCGGGCTAATGTCCGATTTTATGAAGGCACGCTTCCACATGCCTCAACTTCACCTCTATCTGGTGGGCTTGGCTAACCTCTGCAATTCACAGGCTGCCTCATCGTCCGCGTGGTCGATCACAAGTCGGTGTCAGCCCAGGCCAGGAAGTCGACTGCGCCGACTTCCAACGAGAATAACACCCCGTTCTCGATTCATAACTATAACGAGCATGTTACACCATCGGCTTATGTGCCCTACCCAAAGCAATCCCAATTAAACTCCGATAAGCCGGCCGCCAAGGAGACCCCAACCGGAAATCAACCCGATGCGAAAACCAACGGCGAGCAGTCCGGCGATTCGGAAAAACGTGCAGAGGAAGCTACATCGAACTCCGCTCAACCCAAGCAGCCTCCAAAACCTCGAGTTTTCACTACCGTTCTCCACCCGACTCCACGTTCCTTGCAAGCGGAACTCACTTTGCTTGCCACTACACCCGATCCCAAAGCGGCGAAACAGTCGGCATCAAATGCTGCTTCTCGTCCTCAGCAGTCCTCGTCTACAGCTCCACCATCTCCAGGAGGGACATCCAATCAGACCGAGCGTGGACATCCTGCAAAACGACAGAGAATGTTGGTTGAACCTCAGGAGTTTCTGGAATGTGAAGCGAGATTGACACGAGCACTGGCTCCACCTCTTTTCTTGGATCCTGTCAACAGTTTCGACGCTGTGCAAGATCTGCTGAAGATCATGGAGAGCCCACTCCACCGCGATCCGCCACCCTCACCAAAGAGGAGGAAGCGTACCGTGGCTGAGCTCGCTGCTGACGAGGCACTGGCTGCCGAGGAAGAGAGATTCATGCTCATCATGGATGAGCGACTGGAGCCTACCTCCTCCGGTGGTGCTGGAGGGCCGAAATCCGCGGTTGTGGATGATACGGGTGGTGGTGTACCATTTGAGCCTCGATTCTCAAGGTTCAAGACGCTTGAGAATATCCGTATGCAGCATGAGGAGAAGGCCAAGCGCGAACATGAAGTCAAGATGAAACAGGAGTTGGCTAAACGACAACAGCAAGAGCAGGAGAGGGAGAAACGTCGCCTTCTGGAGCAGCGACAGAATGAAGAGCACGCTAAGGAAGAGGCTCGTAGACAGCACTTTGCCGCGCAGGCTCAGGCGCAACTTGCAGCGCAGCAGCAACAACAACAGCAGCAGCAACAGCAACAGCAGCAGCAGAATCGGCATGTCATGGCGCAAACAAACGGGGTTAGCCAAGCGCCGCAGTCTTCGCCGGTGGTCCGTAATCAGACACCCCACAACACCTCTTCGCCTGTTGTTGGCAACACAATGGCCGCACAAGCAAGTGTTCCTATGAGCATGACGCCTTCTATGCAGGGAGCAGGCAGCCCACCGAGGCCGCCATCTGCATTGCAGCACGCCCATCCTACTGTTATGAGCCATCCGATGGCACCTTCCAGAAGCCAACAGGGACAGAGCCGACACGGGACACCACAGATGACTCAAGGAACGCCAGCAATGTCTCATGCTACACCTATCATGCGCAATGTAACACCCACACAGCGAATGAGCCACGCCAGCCCGAGTCACACGACGATGGCCCCAACACCGGTGATGAACCAGGCTACCATGATGGGAACACCACAAATGGGAGGCGGGATGGGCCTCACACCTCAACAGCAACAGCAGATGCTATTGCAGCAGAGGCAACAACTTCTTGCCCAGCAAGGGCATATGGTACAGAATCAATTCTCGCCCAAGCAAGTAGCTCAGATGCAGGCCAACGCACATGCGCAGCAGAACATTCAAGCCCATCAGCAGCAGATGCTACAAGCCCAGCAGCAGAATTTCCAGGCACAGCCCAAGTTCCCGAATCCACAAGCCTATCAGGCTCAGTTGATGCGTGCGCAGCTCGCGCAGATGCACATGGCTCAGCAGCAGCAACAGCAACAGCAACAACAGCAGCAACCGCAACAGCAGCAAGGCCAGCAATCACAGAATCAACAGGGACAGGTACACCAAAACAGCCCACATATGAACCCTCAACAGCAGCAAATGCTAATGGCGGCGGCTCAGGCCAATGGAGGTCATCTGCCACAAAATATGCAAGGAGTAAATTTGGCACAGAACGTCATCACTCCACAGCGCTACCAGCAATTGTTCACTCAGCGATTGGTACGGCTTAGGCAAGAAATGGCGGCTCGTTTGATGCCACAGTACGGTTCACCGTCTCAGTTCCCACCACATATACAACGACAGTACACCACGGGACTGGAACAGAATGCCAAAGCTTGGGTTCATGACATTGTTCGACGAGAGCGCGAGCTGATTCAGCAACGTGCCAACCAGGTTGCTCATGTTCAAGCTCAGGTGATGCAGCAGCAACATCAGCAACAGCAACAGCAACAAAACATGATGCAGAACGCCCGGGGAAGTAGCTGATTTGCTTTACCTTCTTTTTCCTTTCATTCTAACTACAATACGCCGCAGGGCTATTCTTTCATCTTTACCCTTTTTCTTCAAACCCTACCGTTCTTATACCTTCTATCGGATTTGGACAGCGCATGGCGCTCCCCACGAACCTCCACGATTATACATTGGGATTATTCTGTTCTTTTTTTTCTTCTTCTTTTCAAGTCCCCGCTTATTCTTCTTCATTTCTGAGACTGTGCATAAGGTATTGGGATCCAAGGCAAAAGAGGTTGGCGTTTTTATCTTTTTTTGTAAGACTTGGGCCTCCTTTCTTCTTCTTCTATTTTTTGGGTAACCTTATTTATCTTGCTTTGCTTTACTTTCCTTTTTTGTCTTCCTGGTTTGCGCTTGGCGATTTGATTTGATTTGCTTGTACCACACGGGAATGGACTGGTTGAATTTAGGGGAGCAAGGAACCGACTTGATACCATTTTTGTACAGGTGTCCCCTTTTGATTTATGCTGATGTTGACGTTGATGTCTGATAAGAATCGAATTGAAGCAAACTGATATAATTTTGTTTGTTATGAGTAAGAACTGTCTAATCGACAGGTAGTAATCAGCCCAACATTACACCGCCCTCCTCCTATGAATTGATCTGGAGGCTTGCACCTAAAAGATAGTTTCACCATCGACAGTGCCGATAGCCAATAGGCAGTACACGGAGAGCTAAGCTTCCTTTTGGAGGGATGTTGATGGTTGAGTGAGTGAGAGGTGGGTGGTCGGTGGATGAGGATGAGTAGGAGTGTCAGAGATAATGGAACAGATCAGATCAGATCAGATCAGACCAGATCATTCATATATCTGTCTAATGACCCAGAATTGCGGTAGATAATAGTATATATGGGCTGGGTAAATATGCCTAGTAAGTAGTAAGTAGATACATAATACCCACATTGCATGATCATATAGTAAACGTGGTGCGATAAAGAAGAAGTTAGCAGTCTTTCAACTAGTCACACTACTTACTATGAACCACTACTATAAAATGATGATTAAATCTTCTAAAACTAAGCAGGGTAGAGTGGAGCTAGATAGTAACTAATTAGGGGATCTACTATCTACCTAGTTCCAACAGTTTACTAGTAGTAATCAATCTATTGCTCTATTGCTCTATTGCTCTAGTTATCATTGTATTATCAGATCTACCTATAGGAGTATAGTATAGTGTAATCATTGGGGACATCGGATCAGAGTTATCTGCACTAATTGCCTAATGTAGAATACTACTCACTCATACATGGTGTTATCTGAGTATTTATCTAGTTATCGTTAGTAGTATCTTCAGATCGGTCTAGTTAAGTTACCCAAGGGGGGATGTAGTAGCACCAGCAGAGCAGTATTGAGGTTTTAAGTCATTTAGTATTATTATCGAACATGAACATGAACATGAACATGAACATGAACATTCAGAACAACAAAATTACATGGTGTGGTATTCCATCCACCTTTATCTTTTACAGAATAATTTTTAAAAATGGACATTGGTGGGGAAGAGATATACAGAAATATGGACAAGGACAGAGGCCAGGGAGAAGGAAGAAATAATTATTCCATCATTCCATAGAAACAACTGTACGATAAAACTGAAATATGTGGAAAAGGGCCCATAAAGCCATAGATAGATAAAAGAGGCATATTGCACAGATGAACCTTTGGATTTTTTTGGTGTCTTTTTCTCTTTCCCTTCTGTTCGTTTTATGTTTCACCCTTTCCCTTATTTTGTCTGTTTCCCCTGGGTCGTTTTTTGTTTTCACATTTGAGATTCAAGTTCATACACACATGCAAGCACACACAAGACGCACTCTTTTCTCTCACTTCTCTCATGCACACACACAAAACTTTCATTTTCGTTCTCATCTCATTTGGATCCCTGGATTTCGACTACCTAAGTTGCTAGCGAGAAAAAAAGGGGTGTTGGGGAGGGAGGGTTTATGGTAGTGAGGATCATGCGTAGAAAGAAAAGAAAAAAGGTGTGGGGGTAGCATGGGCATGCATGCATGGATGCTAGCCTATAAATGCAAGTTTATGAGGGAAAAAACTGCATTTATTTGCCGCCAAGGCTGGGGAAGTTCTTCTCGTCGACGGCGACAGTGGGAGCAGCAGCAGCAGCGGCAGCGGGGCGCTCGGAGCGGGGACCGTTGCCACGGCCGCCACGGCCACCACGGGGACCACCACGGCCACCACGGCCACGGGGACCAGGGCCACCAGTGCGGGGAGCCTCAACGAAGCGCATGTCGACCTCGAGGATGTTCTTCTCCTTGCGCTGCTTCTCGCGCTTGGCCTTGTCCTCCTTGCCCTTGATGTAGGCATCCTCCTCCTCGGAACGCTTGAGCTCCTTGGCGGCGGCCCACTTCTTGTCGAGCTTGGTGCCCTCGTTGGGAGCACGGACGGGCTTGGCGCTCAGGTCACCCTGGGCGGCCTTCTCGGCAAGGTACTCGGCGTAGGACTTGGACTTGTCGGCAGCCTCCTCGGGCTTCTCCTCGCCGGGGGTCTGGGGCTCGGTCTCATCGGTCTGAGCAATGTTCTCGCCGGCCTTCTCGTCGTCCCAGGTCTTCTCGCCGCTCTGGTTACCCCAGCCCTGGTTCACCTGCTTGCGGGTGTCGCTATCCAGTTCGTCAGTTTTGATCGAGTCCCAAAACTTCTTTTTGCCCATCTTCATAAGGACAAAACGTAAAGGGAATGGCTTACGTCTGGCCGGTGCGGGACTGGCGGTCGTGGCGGACACGCTCACCACGGTCCTCACGGGCGCGGAATCCGCGCCGTTGGGCGTCCTTCTCATCGGTGGGCTTCTCGCGGTTGTTGTTTCTGCCGGCGTTGCGGTCACGGAAAGCTGAACGCGATCGGAATCAGTCGGAATGGACTTGCCAGGAACTGGAACCCAATGTAGATGGAAATACATACCGGCCTCGTTGCCAGTGGCACGGCCACCACGGCGAGAGTTGTTGTTCTCACGGGGCTGGGCAGGGGCCTCCTTGGGAGCGTCCCGCTTGCCAACACGGGGAGCGGGCCTGTCTACGGCTTTCGTAGGGGGCTCGGGAGCTCTGTTGGGGTCGAGTTCAGGGTCATTGCCTGTAGTTGCGCAGCGCGAGCAAAAGCACGCTCGAGGTTAGAAAATGATGTAATCCCTTCACGAATTCGAAGTGTAGATGGATCGACGACAAGCGAAAAGAGAGACCAAGACATGTCAAAACACGATAGGTAGTGCAAAGTGCAGGATGGGACTCAGGTATGGTAGGTAGGTAGGTAGACAAGGGAAGGGCGAGAATTACCAAGAAGCTCGTAGAGGTTCTGTTATAGTAGATGATATGTTAGCCATCGCATTCCTTGGATGTTTGAAGCTGTCGCTTTCTCTCCCGTCTCATCTGCGGTTGTGGTGGTGATGGTGCGAGTTGGTGAGGAGCAGGATAGATTTGTGCAATATTCCTGCCGTCCCCCAAACCCCGCTCGTTGCAATGCAACTGCGCTCCCAACCCAATCCCAGCATTCTTCCATCAATCCAGCCCGTAAATCATTCCTTCCCCCAAATCGCGGATTTCCATCACCCTCGCACAGCAACAGACGGAGAGAAAACGAGAGCCATTCTCTTTTCAAAAGCAACGCACCTTGGACCGGATCTCCGCCATGACGCCTGGTTTTATGCGGGGCCTTCCGGGGAAGGCTTCTCTCTTATCGCAACAATTCGGTCCGACGGAGCGGGCGGGGAGAGTCGACACAGGCAGGAACCTCGACGACGAACGGTATCTGACCTCTCCTTTGTTTAGGGGGGATGGGATAGGATAGTGGTTGGAGTGAAGGGGGTTGACTGGACGGTGGATGGAGGCGACGTTTGTGGTTGCACTCGCCCGATCCGGTAAGGTGCGAATTGCTGCTAAGCGAATCCGGGAATGCGACCTGTGATTGGTCTACAGCAGCTAGGGCTTAGGGTAAAACACCAGCGGATGACGCTGAGATGATGCTCTGCATCGCTGCCTTCAGTTCGGCTTACGCTCGACAGTATGTAGCATGGTTGGATGTTGCTTTTTTCTGCTCCTCTTCCCCTACAGCATTCTTGGGGTGATCTGTAGATCACTGCCATCCCAATTCCATTCCCCTCCTTTGTCATACGTCACTACTCCATTCTCCATCCTCTTTCTTCCTTTCTCTTTCCCTCGGCCGTTGTAGCTTTCCCCCCATTGCCGAGCTCCGTACTAGCTGGTCACCTGCCACTCCAGTTACTTCCCTATTCGAGTAGATACCTTCCCCTAGCTCTCAGAGCTCTCCCAAGAGGGAATTCATCCACATAGTAGTTTCTCCAGAAAAAAAAGTAGCGGCAAAAGGAACAGTGGAATATAAGTAGAAGCAGAGAAGTAATAAAATGATTCATGAAGATGAATAGAATAGAATGCAATGCCGCAGGGATGCAACATAACCCAGACCAGCAAGAAATACACATGCAAGCCACCGTTTCACTGCAGCCCAAATCATCACCATCACCATAGCAAGAAAAGAAACACATCAGATAGCTATGTCCGCAAGAGCTGAGAGTAAAAAGTGCGACCCAATTCGAACTGCACCGCAGTCGCCCTCGGGCCCATTATACCAGTCATGCATGTACACAAAGAACCATGTCCCAACTTTTATCGCGGCCTTTCTTTTTACTTTCCCTTTTTACCCTTCTTTCCTCCGCTCATTCCGCGCTCAAAGGAACAAACAGCCAACCGCTTTTTTTCCAGTTTCAAAGGCGTCAATCAATCAAAAGCGCCACAGCAACAGCAGAACAGCAAGCGAACCAATATAAACAAATGGTATCAACCGCAAACGCCAGGCAATGCTTCAAAGTTTCAACTTTTGTCTTCCAGTCATAGAAGAAAGCTATGAAGGAAATCCGTCAAGCGTGTCTCTCTCTTCCGACCGTGGTATCCCTCGAACCGAAAGAGGGAAGTCAGTGCCGGATGTGAGATTACAAAACAAGAAACAAACGGGTTAATGGCGGGTATTATTCTGCTCGTAACTGAAAGGAGTCTGGAAATGCATGCTAGCACTCAATCCAAATGGATCGGCATCCAGCATAGGTTCATAGTTCCCCATGAGGTGGTTCGCATTATTGTATGCGCCATTGGCTCCCTCTCCCGCATGTTGGGTGTATTGGTTGAGATTATGAGCCCCCATGGGGTGAGAGCCCGCCGGCACAGATGCGGCATTGTTGTAGCCGGAGACGTAGGGTGAGGCACCCACGGTGGAATCATGTTCCTCGTCAATCATATCGGCCTGGGCATCGTACTCCTGTTCTATGCGGACATTAACCAAGGGTTCAATACCACCACGGACCTGGAAGAAAACAACAATGCGACAATGGAGTTAGCTTACCCAGTTGGTCATAGTGCTTCTGGAATGGCGATGGGTAGTACGCGGAGGGGACGCGGGGAGCTCGGGGATTCGTACCACCCGGCATGGCGGCCTTTGGGTCGGTCGACTCCGGCTGGCCGATGCTCATCGGCGGCGAGGTTTGGCTGATATTGCGCGAGTGCGACAGCATCTGCGAGCGCTGCTGGGCCTGGGGATCCACCCCAACCGGCGACATGGCTCCCTGGAAGGGGAAACCGGGGGATTTGGCGTGGGACGGAGAGGAGACATGGGACGGAGGCGTGGCCTGGAACTGTGGCGACGGAATACCATACGCACCATCACGATGTTGAGCCATGCCGAAAGGCTCCTTGGGAGCGATGCCAGGATGCCGTTGAGCCGAGGTTCGGTTTACGGCAGCACGCTCGAGGGTGGAGGGAGGCTTCGCTGCCATTGGGGTGGGCTTAGCGGCGCCCGCGCCAGGGGCCCCGGCCTTGAGTCGCAGCTCTGCTTGCACATCGATTCCTACGGTCGGTCAGTATCTCACGTATGGGACAAGGATCGCCCCGAGGGCGCTTATCAGGAAGGGGGCTTGCAGGCTTGCAGTTGGGTATGCGAACGGGGGAGACCAACCTTTTTCGAGCAAGATACGTTCGAGCAAGGAGTTCTTGTAGCGCAGCATCAAGCATTCATCAGCGGCGCTACGATGATTCTGCTGGAGGGTCTGCAGGGAGTCTTCATTGCGCTTAATGGTGGACTCGAGCTGGCGGATGTACTCTGTGCGACGCTCACGGAAGGCGGCCTGGGCCTGGCGGTTGCGTTGCTTCCGCTCCTCCGAGGTAGCATAGATCTGACGGCGGCTGTTAGCTTCATGTCGGGGAAGGGAAGGGATCAAGGGTCCAGATAGATAACAAGATCGATAAAGGCTGAAGAGGGGAAGGGAGTATTAAGGTGCAGATGAGATAAGTAGTCAAGGGGACAGCAAGAATGGAGGGATATGACAGGACGATAAGGGATGAACAATCGCAATGATAAATGATAATAATAAACGCAGTGCGGGGCCCCGGACTGGCACGCAGGGACAAATCACTGGGGGAGGAGCAGCGATAGGCACCAACAGCACAGCCAGTGATGATGCTTGATGAACACCAAAAGACGTGATGGATGTGATGATAGATAGATAAAGGTAATAGAAATGAGATAAGAGAAAAACAAGCAACGACCACCACGAGGTATAAAAAGCCAAAAGGGTCGGTCGATCTGGATCCGGGGTAAAACAATAAAAAACAGAGTTGAGGACAGCCACCCTCGAAGAGTTCTTACGTACTGGTTTTCTTCCCCCTTTGCGCTTCTGAGTCTGGGTCACATCTTGCATCAGAATCTCCCCCTCGGCCTCAGGTGTTGACACCGCCGAGCTGATCGAGCCTTCAGGCAACGGCTCGGTCTTGGGGACAACCGGCTCGGTGGCCGGGTTGTCATTTTGTGTGGAATTGCTTGTCTCAACCATGGAGACCATTGGATTTGGCTATGTATGAGGAAGGGGGGATGGGAATTTAGCCTCGTTCTTTTCTTTGTTTGCTGGCCGTTCTTGTTGCCTGTCCGGATTGCCCAAAAGACAGGTCGGTTATGGGAAATCCCCCCTTGCGTGCTTGGTGGATGGAGAATGACGCACCCAACAAGAACGAAATCCGGGGGCGTGGGATATTATAAAATTAGCAAGGAAAGAAAAGGGAACAACAACAGAAAAAAGAAAAAAAGGCAGATGACGACGGCCGGGATCGAATATCAAAAGCCTTCTTCTCTTCTTCTCTTTTGTCTGTCTCTCTCCCAAAGACCGGGCTAACAAGACAGCGGACTTAATTTCCCCCTCACACAAAATAGACGCGGTGAACGATCACGAAAGACAAAATGGTAATAGAATACACAGCAGGTAAAAAAGTTAGCCGGCGGGGTTATAGAATCTGATAATTCAGACGCAGGAAACGCGCGGCTGGGCGGCAGAAAGGGACGTGCGAGGGCTGGCAAAGGGTCGCAAGGAGGCCAGCGGAAGAGGTGACATAAAGGAAATTGATGATGGAATACCCAGATAGCCAGCAGGTTCGGAGGGAAAGTAGGAGAGAAGCGCGAAGGACAGTGAGAGGGGAAGGGTGGGAAGGTGAGAGTGGGAAAGATGTGAGGTAAAATTATTTACTAAAAAGAACGGGGATGTTATTAAAAGGAAAAAAAAAGGTCGAATAAGGGCCTTCTTCTCTTGGTCCAAGCCTGGTGGGTTGGAAAATTCGAGCAAAGAGTGGGCAAAAATAATATTTAATGGGGACAGCAGAAGGAAAGGAAAAAAATAAAAAAGAATTTTATTTTATTTTTCTTTTGGCTTCTCTTCGAACTTTCCTTTTAGGTCAAGGCAGAGACTTTCCCAGGGGAAAAATCCAGCCCATCATCCCCATCCACTCCCTCCATCCACTCACGCGAGACGGTGCAATGAGTGTGAGAGGGGAAAATGGACCGAACGGAACGAGCTTCGGTTTCGCCGCCGCTGGTCAAAACTCTTTTTGACTTTTACACTACTTTTTTGACGCCTCGTCTAGTCTTTACTTTTTTCTGCTTTTAAACAACTGATGTTCTCTCGCGCCCGTCCGGTTTCTGTTTCTTCTAGTAGTTCTAGTAGTAGTTCTACGCATTCTTCCCTGCCCCTGCTTTAGTTTCTGTCCATCCAACATCACAAGAGCCACTCTCCCCTCATTGCCCAGTTACAACACCCCCCCCCCGCCTCCCTCCCCTCTCCTCTCAGCTTTTCTCACATACACTGGCACTTTCTTTGCTTTTCTGTCCACTCAGGTCCTCGATGCAATTCTTCCCTCTTTGCTAGGAGCGGTTTTCCTCGGCCGCGGCACCAACTTGAGCGAGATCCACTGCAAGGTCAGACCCAGCCGAAGATCCGCCCAGGGTGAGTCGTCAAACTCGTCACTGCCTCCGTGGTCCAAGTCACTACTAATGCCCTATTTGAACGAGCTTACTCCTCTGGTAGTGCTGGTGGTGGTCCGTCCACCAGGCGATGCAGGCTCCGAAACGGAGTGGAGAGCAGGAGAACGTGTCGTTGTCCTTTCTTATTCCTTTCCGCTTCTCTCGGAAGTGGCTACTGGGGGTGTGGATGCGAGCAACCTTGAAAGCAATGCCATTGTTGCGTCGGTTCCAGCTAGCTCAATCTGGACCAGAACTGTGTAGTATCTATTGCAGGCGATAAAGTAGATGCCAGTCTTTTCTCCTATCGACAAGTCATGAGCAGACTTCCCTGCCCCTTTCT